TGATATCTAAGGAATTAAGGGAACTAAGGTGGGGATGCTTCAACTATTATTGTCTAAATTAACTGAGTGGTTCCTGGATTAACTGGGTGGTGCACAGCCCTGACCTTGGCCAGGACTTTCAATGACTACTAGCTTTTGAGGTGTCTCTGTCTAAACTCAGCTAGTGAAGACAATGAATGGACTCCGGCACTATACATATATAATTTATATTGTTGTCTATCTTAGACACTTATTTCATTATCTTTTCCATTTCATCTTGTATACACTTCTCAAGACTGTTTTCTGTGTCCTAACTAGTAATTTCATCATGTTTATTCTCCTCTTGTTACTATTTAGTTTATCTCTGTAATTTTTTTCCTGAGTACTGCCAGATCATTCTTTTTCTCTCTCTCTTTTTACTTTATCATGTTCTTTGGTTTCTTATATTAACATGCTTTTATATCAAAGAGGACTATACTAACTCTTTGTTTTTGAAGGGTTTAATATATACAGGTAATACTTTAAAATAGCTTTAACTTTAAATGCACTATATAGTTATTGTGAAATGATTTGTATAAGAAATGATTTATATATTCGATACATATTAATACCTGGCAGGAACAGTTGAAATTATAATCTTGTATTTATTATGGAACTATCTTTGTGAGGTGCCAAATTGATCCAATGCTATATAACTTTACCTAAGAACTTTGATTATGTTTTTTGTATCCAGATATTTCAAATGACTAGCACAGTGAAATAAATTTGGAGTTCAAGTGCTATTACTGCATAAGGCAATGTTAGGCATTCATAAAAATTACCCACCATAAAATCAACTTGACCCCCATGATAGAAAAAAAAAAGAGTTAGGAATTGTGTAAATTGCATGTTGCCAAATGTTTAGGCTACAATTACGATGACTTCCTCTGTGTGTTTGCTGTCTATCCTCTTTTCATTTACAGCTGCTCATTTCCCAGCATGTTCGAGAAGAATGGATTTATAGGGTTTATAGCTACCTACTGTGCCATCTACTTTCAGTAACAGTTGGTTTCCTAAGTGAATTGGCAACTAGGCATATCTTAGTAGGGTTTTGTTTTATTTTCTATGATGTTAAAAATAGTTTGTGGTTGAGAAGAAAAGGAAAATCTTTGTACCTGAATTGGCTTTTGACAACTCTTTAAGTGCCATTACTCCTATACAGGACAGTATATGGCCCCTATCATTTAATAGTGCTGAAATGTCACATTCTTAAGACAGCTATTTGATGGCTACCCTGAATAACTGAGCCCAGTGCTTCACCCTGGAACTTAATAACTTATGTCTCTAAATTCCTGGGTAAAAAATAGCCTTCCTTTTTGAATAAAAGTTGCCATGGCAATTGACAAACTTGTCAAACATCAAGGCCAATCTTTAGCTTTGCAATATTTTCAAAGATGTGAGTAAAAATAAAGGTGTATTATCACATACCCGTATCAGTGATTGTAATTAGGCAACATGTATATTTTTGCAGATAATCATTATTTAAGCATAATGATATTATTCTTTATGTTAACTTTAAGACTGTATCTTTTTTTTTACATATTTTATTGATTTTTTACAGAGAGGAAGGGAGAGGCATAGAGAGTTAGAAACATCGATGAGACAGAAACATCGACCAACAGCCTCCTGCACACCCCCTACTGGGGATGTGCCCGCAACCAAAGTACATGCCCTTGACCGGAATCGACCCTGGGACCCTTCAGTTCGCAGGCTGACGCTCTATCCACTGAGCCAAAACGGTTAGGGCTAAGACTATATCTTGACTAATTACAGAGATATAGGTGTTAAGAGAAATACCAAAGTCCTTTTAAATGTGTTGATTGCAATAATTATACTGAATTCTATAGTGAAAATTTGCAGTTTTAAAGAGAATACTATATGATATTTATGTGGAAATTTGGCAGCATCATAGAATGTGTTACATAATTCACCTAAAGATTACATCTCTGACTTTAGTGTTGCTGAACTGTTTATAATAATTCTAGCAATAGGGACAAATTAAAATTCTTATTTAAACTCATAGACAATTTTCTTCAAAACCACCCCTTTATATGATTCGTTGGGAAATTACATGATTCATTATCACTTGTTATGCAGATCTGATGATTTCTGGGAAGTTAGATTTAAAATTTCATTTCTGCTATGTGATTAGCTAGAATACCAGAATTGAATGGGAGATGTTTGTTATACAGATGTGTAAATCTCTAGATTAGTTTGCCTTCTTCAGTGTGTTGCTTAAGTTGAGTCTCTTTGGATTGCAAGTTAGGGAAACTTGTTTGTCAGTTAGGACTCTTTTAGTTGACAATTACCCAACAAAAGGTGTTTTAACAATAAAAAAGATTTCATGGTTAACACACCCAAGTGTAGGTCACACTTATATGTACCTGATCAGGGATCTGGCTTTTTCTTTGCATTGATTGTTGTTCTGTTCTCATCTATGTTTGCTGTGTCTTCAGGCCCGGTTTCCTCTTGGCAGCAACATGTGGGCAGTAGTTCAAGTCTCACACCTACATTTCTCAGCAATCAGAATAAGAGAAAGCATCTCCTTTAAGCTTCTAGATGTCTCACTGGTTGGTCTTTCTTGCCATGCTTGTGTGCTCCTGATCCCCACCAGCCCTTGTGGCCATTGGAGTGACGTGTGCAGAATGGCTTGTGCCCAATGGCAAGGAGGGGACCCACCTCAGAAGTGTCCAGTGGTGAAGCGCCAGTCAACAGGGAAGACCCGCTGGCAACACAGTCGCAATGCTTGTTACCCCCTCCCCCCAGAACCCACATAATCAGTGTCTTAATCTTCTGGAAGGGAGTGCTGGAAGCCCTATGAAATCTCTCTTGAGCTGCATGGAATCTTCTTCCTTCTTCTTCCTTTGTATCTCCTTTTTTCTCCTTTCTCTGCATAATTTTCTTATCGGTATACACACAATTCAATGTTATACCCAGAGTTTAATTGGAGGTTTACTTAGGAACTTTAAAAAAAATTTTAATGTTAACATTTAATCACTGTTCTCAATATTTACATGTAGGGTCAATATTTTTTTTTTAGTCATGCAGCAAAATCTAGTACTAAAAATATTCCCTTCCTTTATGTAGTCAGTTTTCTATATCTATCTAGCCTGATGGCTTGTGAAAAGGTAGCTGGGATTCTTGTTTTGACAAGATTTCAAGAATAATTGTACTTTATTTAATGAGAACAACTAATAAATGCATTAGGCAATATTCACATCTCAAATATTATTCAAATCACAGACCCTCTATTCAATAACCATTATTCTTACATATACCTGAATGTTTTAAAATATATTCTATCTAGTGGGCTCCACAAATTGATATACACCATTACATTTCATGGTAAAAAAAAATATTTGCAATTTGAATTGGTCAAGAATCATTTTATTTTCTGGGAGTTTCTCTTCAAAATTGCCTTTTAAAACATTTAAGTCTTTGCACTGAGTGAGAGACATGAAAAATAAAGGTTTTGTAGCAGGTACCATGGTGATACCGATAATGAGAATCACATAAAAGTAGAATTTAGTAACCCCAATTATAGAGAAAAAATATATTATCCATTTCTAGGATCTTTAACTTAAAGCAGGCCTTAATGTAACCCCAGCTTTAAAGAAGAGAAGTTTGAATTTGTTGTCACTCAGTGGTAATTATAACTCAAGTTTTCATTAAATAGTTCCAAGACTGGCATTTTCTTTGGTCAGCAATTACAGAGATTCCTGTAATAGAAAGACTATTGTTTATTTATAAATTTCTTCTAAAGAAGCCTACTAATTTTATATATTTTTTATCTAATTCACATCCACTAGCAGTTCACTCCTTTAGCTGTTTTGAAGAATACTAACACTTTTAATTTCATAGTATCATTATTTAGTTTGTATTTTAAGAATTTTTTGGGATCATAATCTGTTCATTTCTGTTGAGAACTGACTATTTTTTCTTTTTCATGAAAGTCTGTCTATAACTCTGTAATTTACATAAATTGGATTAAATGCCTCTTTTCTCTCCAGCCCTATTGAGATAAAATTGACATGTGATAGTGTGTAAGTTTATCTATAAAATATGTTGATTTGGTACATTAGTATATTACAAAATAATTACCATGATAGCATTAGCTAACACTGACATCATATCACATAATTACCGGTTCTTTATTGTGGGGAGAACATTTAAAATCTACTCTCTTAGCAACTTTCAAGTACATAATACTGTACATGTATTACAGTGTTAACTATAGTCACTATGCTGTATAGAAGATCCCCAGAATTTATTGGGTAGTTTGTACCCTTTGACCAACATCTCCCCGTTTCTCCAAAACCCCAACCCCTGGTAACCACCATCCTACCCTGTTTCTATGAGTTCAGCTTTTTTAGATTGCACATATAAGAACATATAGTACTTATCTGTCTCTGACTTATTTCACTTAGCATACTGCCCTCAAGGTCCATCCATGCTGTTGCAAATGGTAAGATTTTATTCTTTCTTATGGCCAAATAATATTCCATTGCACATATGTGCCACCACATTTTTGTCCAATGTTGATAGGCACTTGATTTGCTTTTATATCTTGACTCTTGCAAATAATGCTGCAATGAACATAAGGTTGCATATTTTCTTGTGAATTAGTGTATCTTCATATACATACCCAGAGTGGGATTACTGGGTTATAATACAGTTGCATTTTTAATTTTCTGAGGAACCTCCATACTGGTTTTCATAGTGCTTCCCCAATCTGCATTGCCACCAACAGTGTATGAAGGTTCTCTTTTCTCCACATCTTTGCCAACATTGTTGTTTTAATTTGTATTTCTCTGATGATTAGGGACACTGAGAATTTTTTTATATGTCTATTGGCCATCTGTATGTCCTCTTTGGCAAAGTGTCTATTCAGGTCCTCTGCCCATTTTTTAATTGGATTGCTTATTTTTTTTTTTTTCCATCCATGCTCTGTTCTTTATGTGCACTTTTCTCTATTATTACAGGAGGACACAGATCACAATTACTATATATCTCGGATATATGGTCCCTCTGATTCGGCCAGCCGGGATTTGTGGGTGAACATAGACCAAATGGAAAAGGACAAAGTGAAGATTCATGGAATACTTTCCAATACTCATCGACAAGCTGCAGTAAGTGCTTTGACATTTCAATTTTATTTTTTCCTGCTGCAAAAAAAAAATTTGTTTTAATTGACATATCAACATTTCTTGTTATGATCACTGTTCAAGTATACTTAGTTCCGCAACTGCAATTTAGATTAATAATTGCATATAAGATATTATAGAAAATGAAAAATAATTATTTTGAGAAGCCACATTTAATTAAACTATTAATTAAATTAATTAACAATTTTCCTAATCAGAGGATGAGTTACGTATTCAATGTTGAGATAGATCTTGGATGGTTGTCAGTTTTTTTTGTGATCCATGAGTGTAGACAATATTTTTTAAAAATTACATTAATTTAGTATCTTCCATTTTGCATGGGTTTCTTACTCTTGGCCTGGGAAAGATGTAACCAGAAACATTTATGATTCTGATACACATATAGACCAAGATAAAAATCTAAGTGAAGAAGTTTGATATAAAGGAAAAAATTAAACCTAGAAGTCTCCGATTATATTTTAAGCCTGAGTTCATTATTTACCAGCTGTGGTTTCTTAAACAAATAATGTAACAATTCTGAGGCACAGTTTATGCATCTGTATGGTAGGGATGACAGGGGAAGTTATATAGGACTCACCTCACATGGTCATTGTTATCCTTTTCTACCTTATAGACTGAATGCTTATGCAGGTTAGCTTTTCAATGTTCGCAACAATCCTATGATTTCAATACTAATTACTGTGCAGATATTGCAGATGAGAGAATGGAGTCTTGGAAAAATAAGGAATCTACCTACAAGTCTCTAACTAGTAAGTGATGAAATTAGGATGCTAACGTAAGCAGTGAAGCCCACACTCAAAATGTGTGTGTAAAATTTGTCGCAGTTGGTTTTCAGCAGATTTTGAGACTTGCTTCCTGATAAGTGCCTGATTTAACATTTTAGAAGTTATTTAGTTTTGCTATCATAGACAACAGCGGTGATCTTACTGTTAATGAGGTGATGTCTTGTTCAGTTTAGTATGACTTAAAGTGAAACAACTTTAAATTTTCAAGTATTCTGCCATTATTGATATAAAGACTCAATAGGTTAAGTGACTCAAAGAGGCATGGATTCGGTAGATGTAAAATATCAAAAATTTTGGCCACAAACTTCATCATATATATATATATATACCAGACTTTCCTATTTCAGGAGGTCAACTTCTAACAGTTAAAATGGAAGTTAATTATGATCTACCATAATGATTTATTCAGTTTTCAATGTAGAGCACATGTTTTCTGAGCCAGAGAAGCAAAGTAGCCAGCTTGCCCTGGCTGGGTTACTCTGTGGGTTAGAATGTCCTCCCATACACTAAAAGGCTGTGGGTTGTATTCCTGTCCTGGGCATCTCTCTCTCTCTCTCTCTCTCTCTTTCTCTCTCTCTCTCTCTCTCTTTCCCCTATCCCCCCTCCCTTATATCCCTTTCCTCTCTCTTTCAAATCAATAAAAAACATGTCCCAGGGTTAGGATTAAAAAACAACAACAACATACACACAAAAACACTACAAAGTAGCCACCTTTCCTTGATGATTTCATCATCTGGCTTTTCCATATTCTAGCAACCCCAGGCAATATGACAGATTCAGAAATGATTCACTGTTGGGTTTAGAAATGGATCTTCAAAAGAAGACAAAATGATTATAGTAGGACAGTGTCTATTAGAAAGTTATTTCATCTTCAGTAAATCCCACTTTGCTTTACTAAAATATATATAGGACAGATGAGGCTTACATGCCCTCTCAAGCTTAGGGGAAAGGGGGTTGGGAGTTATGGTTTGGGACTTTAAAGGGTGGAAAGGCAATTCACATGGAGATGAAACAGCTAATGTTTGGTAAATAAATGCTTGCTGGGCCATACTCAACAAAGGGACCCAGTGAGGACTTTGATCAAAAGGTTCTTACTAGCTTCCTCTCTGTCAATCACACTTAATTCATGTTATCTAAGATGATAGTTCTCTTCCTGGAGCAGGTTTTCTATCTAAATTCCTTTAAGTGGGTAAGGGGCCAAAGGATTTTCCTAAGTCTTCTTTCTTGAAAATATCCAGCTTTAAAAATAATAACCCAAAAAGCATATTTTAGAATGGAAAACTCTGCTTCTCTTCAATAATATTACTTTTTTTTCTTTGTTTGTTTATTTTTGTTTTCTAAATTCTACCTAAATATAAAATCATAAGGAATCTGTTTTTCTCTATCTGACTTATTTCACTTAGCATAATACCCTCCAGGTTCATCCATGTTGTTGCAAATAGTAAGATTTCATTTGTTTTTTATGGCTGAGTAATATTCCATTGTACATACGTACCACATCTTTTTTATTCATTGTCTATTAATGGACATTTAGGTTGCTTCCATATATTAGCTATTGTTAATGCTACAATGAACATAGGGCTGCATATATCTTTTTGAATTAGTGTTATATATTTCTTCAGTTAAATACCCAGACATGGAATCGCTAGATCATATGGTAGTTCTACTTTTAATTTTTCAAAAAACCTCTATATTGTTTTCCATAGTGGCTGCACCAGTTTACATCCCCACCAATAGTACACAAGGGTTTTCTTTTCTTCAGTAGAAAAATGTGAAAATTGGACTCTGTTATGCCTAGATTTCAAGATCCCCCAAAGCCCACCAGGGAGCCAGCCGAGTCTGATGCAAAAGCAAAGAATCTTTATTCAAGCTAGCTCGGCTCCCCTACCACACGCACCAACGCAACAGCAAGCCAAGTGACACAGAGAGAGAACTCTGTGTGGAGAGGGGTTTTATAGGGGGGTTGGAGTAAGGGGAGGAGAAAGGACTGTGGGCCCTGCCGATTGGCCAGGTGCAAGTCGGTGTCTTGTTACACAGGATGTGGTCATATTTATGGCGCACACTTCCCTTGATTGTCATTGGTTAGTTTAAAGAAATCCTGGGTGTGGCTAGCAGAGGCTTGGGCTTCCGGGAAGAAGCTCCTTGCCGAGCACATGGCTGCCCAAAAATGGAGGATCCAGGGTAAGATGGAGGGCATAGCCCTTACCCTGGGGCAAGATGGAGGGCGTGAAGAAGAAGAAATTATATACCTTGACCTTAAATTTTATATCTGGAAACTTATAAATTAATAGAACATTTAAAAATTTTTCTACAAACATTCTTTCTTTCATAAAAATTAGTATGAGATTTATAATTTGTAAAGAGTGATTCATGGTTTAAAATGTCCTCAATTGGCCTCCCCACATTTCCAGTCCTTCCTGGATCTCTCTGGTCTGTTTCCATTACGCCTTCCTCTGAGTAGAATCAGGTTGTTAGAGATGAGGACAGATTTCTAATGTTAAGACACTAGGGGACTCAGTAATATCCACAGAACCCCTCCCTTCAACCTTCACAGAACACACACACCATAACACAGCTGTTCTCCCTGTGATGTTACTGAGAGGTTTTAGCACAAGGGAAAATGGCAAATGGGAAACAAGACTTCGAGGTTGACTTGGTTTACTGATGTCATGATTTTCATAATTCTTGATGCAATGCTCTCTGGTAATTTGGCTGCAAACATTTAAGCCCTAAAAGAAGAGGGAAGTTTCTATAATCTCATCACCAAAGGATATAATTTGCATGTCCAAGGTCAAAAAAAAAAGAAGAAGAAGAAATTATATACCTAGGGACAGACTCAGGAGCAGTTAGTTAAGTAATCCAGTCCTGACTAAACAGGAGGTAGAGTGAGAAAGCTAGAAGATTGATTTTTCTGAAGACACAGCTACCTTCCTCTTTCCTGGCTTCCTCAGAATTGGTCAGAGGAAGACAAAGGAGTGTCTGATTTGGTAGCATAATTTTTTAAAAAATATTTTTCCCTCTTCCACCATCACTCATAAATGTGGTCCAAAGCCATTTTGGGATCATAAATTAATATTCTAGAAAGAGGAGGAGGGTGGAGACAGTAAAAGTTATCCCTGTTCTCCATTAACATAATCCTATATAATAGAAGGCTAATATGGAAATCGGCCAGTGGAATGACCGGTCGCTATGATGCACACTGACCACCAGGGGGCAGCCTCACAACACAGGAGCTGCCCCCTGGTGGTCAGTGGGCTCTCACAGGGGAGCACTGCTCAGCCAGAAGCCAGGTTCATGGCTGGCAAGTGCAGCAGCGGTGGTGGGAGCCTCTCCTGCCTCCACAGCAGTGCTAAGGATATCCAACTAATGGCTTAGGCCTGCTCCCCACCTAAGCCATCAGTCAGACATCCCCCAAGGGCTCCCGCACTACGTGAGGGCGCAGGCTGGGCTGAGGGACCCCCGAGTACACAAATTTCGTGCACCGGGCCTCTAGTATCTTAAAATTTCACAGCTGAGTATTTGTTTCTAAATCATTTAATTCACGTTTTACATGACAGGACACACTAACTTCTTTTTCTTTTTATATGTAAGATATACTCAGTATTTACATTACATATGTATATTGCAATTTCATTACATGTTCTTTCAAACTTCCCCATTGTGCATTTTGGTTTAAATAACATTTCTTAAATTATTATTAAAAATAAATAAAGCAGATGTTAAAGCCTGCTTTTACCTTTGACAAATTAAAGGAAGGATCTTGTATTCCTAGATAAAGTTGAAAAAATTTGCAGTAAGTCCCTACCATATGGCAAGCAATGAGCCAGCACTTTATATTCAATTACTGGTACTTATTTGTTTTAGGTTGTTGTGTTTTATCTGTTTTCTGATATTGAAAGTCATACAGTTGTCAGGTTGTAGCTCTGGAAGTTTCTAACTACAAACCTAGGAACCTGTTTGTACCTGTTTCTTTCCCTCTGTGTGGAACTTCAAATTTCATAATTTTGAGATTATTTTCTATATTTCTAAATCATATACTTTCATCCATTGCTGGGCACAAAGTTTGATTCAGTAGCTAGTCAAATTAGAATTATTTTGCCTTCTGAAACTATGGTTTATCAAATTCTGCTTTACAACTTGAAACCACTCTCTGGTGGAAGGAGTTTGGGGTTATAGAAG